AGGGCAATGACGTAGTACAGTGGTTGGTTTGAGCTACTGTAAGTGGATACAACAGGTGTTTGAGCCACCATAGATGGCATGCACAGCAGATGGTTTGAAATGCTGTAGGTTGTCAAGTCTATAGTAGTCTCTGTCCTCACCCCTCTTGCACCTCAATCAAGTGAGCTCACTCAGCCCAGCTGGTGCACACCAGTCAGGCCAATGTAAACCCCCTAGATGAGCAAACTCAGTGCATGCCACACCGGTGCTTTAGCCTGCTCTAGAGCACTGACACTGCAGGTGCGTCTTCTGCAGTGCTGCTTGCTTACAAAGCGCCCCCGTAACCTTGCAAGTGCTCTCTATCCAGGTACTAGTATTTGCTACTTCCACTATGCATTACCTGAATCAAATCCAGCCCTTACTCATTGTACTCATTAGCTCTATTAAACTCTCAAATCCAGCCCTTACCCATTGTGCTTATTAGCTCTATTAAACCCTTAAATGCAGCCTTCAGGAACTGTACCCATTAGCTCTATTATCTCTCAAATGAAGCCAACTGAATGAACGTATCGATTGAATGATCGATGATTAAGCCAACTGAATGAACGCAATCGATTGATCGATTGAAGCCAACTGAATGAATGATGATTGATTGATTGATCGATCGATTGATTGAAGCCAACTGAATGAACGTATCGATGGAATGATCGATGATGAAGCCAACTGAATGAACGCGATCGATTGATTGAAGCCACCTGAAGAACCAACTGATCAAATGATTGCAAACCAACTAAAGGGCCAATCAAGCAATCTCACCTGCAGAAGACATCATTCATCACCGCAATCCTCATTGACGCAACAGGTTAGGCAGACCACCATCTCCATTACGTCAACATATGCATCTGATTTCAGATTGCTCCCCATAATGCAGCATTACAGCACTGTTCAATTGACTTGAAGCGTGCTACAAGCTGGACACTCAATACAAGCTTGAGTGCATTACATCATACGAGCGTGCGCAGAGCAAACCAAACCTTGAAGCTTTCCTTTGGAATTGAGTCAGCTCTCAATGGGCGTACCAGAGTTGCTGAACACAATACAAAATTGAGGTTCAAAGCCCAATTTGCAATGCATCTACCTTCGAGCTTTGCTCGAAGGCTTGACGGCCTATTGCTAGACCTGTGCGGGGGACTATCCTGGTTTGTGGAGGCCCCTAACTGCAAGGCTATGCCGCAGCAACTCAAAGAGCTACTGTGTTGCGACACATCCCGACAGCCACTCACCAGTTCTGTCTAAGGCTGACAGGGATAAGGCAGCTCACTTAGATTCATCTCCTGAGTTGAGAAATGCATCAGGCTCTGTAGTTTTGTAGTTTTCCCTGCAAAAAGAGCTCAAATTTGCGATTTTAGTTGCAACCAGCTGAGCCTACTGCATCCATGAACGTGGAGCAGTTGCGTCTTGCTCAGTAGGGCTAGCAGGAGATGTGCACAACGCTAGCAGCCGCACACAGCGCATCCGTATGGTGCACAGATCTGTACGGCGTGCGCGTCTGTATGACGCACATGCATCTGTATGGCACATATGGCATGTATGGCACACATTTGTCTGCGTCCTTTTACGGCGTAAAAGTGGAAGTCCTTGGATCCGCGGACCTCTGTACGGTACGCGTAGAGAGCGACCGTAGGGGTGTACGGTAGGCATAGGGAGCTACCGTAGATGGGTGCAGTGAACACAGAGCTTTGATGTAGTAGGGCAGGTGTTTGAGCTCCCATAGGTGTGTACGATATGCGTAGGAGCAACTGTAGGTGCGTACAGGGAACACAGAGCTTTGATGTAGTATGACAGCTGTTTGAGGTACCGTAGGGGTGTACAGTACACGTAGGTAGGTACGGCAGCCATTTGAGCTGCAATAGGCTTGCACATCTGTATGGCGCACGCATCTGTATGGCACGCGCGCATCTGTATGGCAGGCACGCCTCTGTATGGCACGTATGGCACGCATCTGTCTGCGTACTTTTACGGCGTAAAAGTGAAAGTCCGTGGATCCGCGGACCTCCGGACGCGTTTTTTGGCGGGGGATTTGGCTGCGCATCCGCTTTTGCGCCGTAAAAGTCTTGGGGCATATGTATAGGACGGGCATTTGAGTGTGGTACATACATGTCGCACACGTTTGTTCGGATATTTGTTCAAACCGCGCAGGTAGCTGATGTGGGTTCTCAACAAATGTTGCGGACGTGTATTTTCTGCACGGCCTCCTTGCAAGCAGGGCGGACGGCCTCGGACGCAGTCAAATCGCTCTACAACGTGCTGCGTCGGGGCTGCTCCACGTCGAACATTACGCTTGGCTGTGGGGCAAAGGCGGCGCCCAGCGTAGCGGCATTGGATCTCACCGGGTGCGACTCGTTTGACTCCACTTCTCTGTCGCAGCAGACACTGCCTCTGGGTCGCGCAACGGCGCGAGACATGAGGCCCTCTGTCGCGCCGCGAGCGCATTGGAAGTTCTAGCCTAGCGGCCGCCCACGTTGTCTCGTTACTCCAAATGAGAGCCGTGCGGACAACGATGTTGCGTTCGCGACCCCACATTTGAGATAAAGGTTGGAACATGGTGGCTTGCTAAGCGCGCACTTTGTGTGGTCCAAAAGCCCGAGGCGAACGTGCAGCGCATGCAGAGGATCAATGATTCGACGCGCGCACATCATCAACGCGCTTCTAGCCTCGAGCTTGGCACTCCTGGCGCGAGCCGGAATCAATTTCAACTGTTCATGTCCGCGAGGCGATCGTAAAGCTGGCGCGGATTGCTAGCAATAGATGAACCCGCCCGGCTTGACGAGCGCGGCGAGCGCGGCACCCGTGGCATGCCCCGCACAGCAAGCACCAAGAGACGGTGAGATGCGCCATTCATTTCACATGAGCGGCGCTACACTCCTGACAGTAGATGAGAGCCCCTTTCCCGACATCCAATCGCTGCTTTAGCGCAATGCTCTGACGCGCTCCCCCGCGTCCTGAGCCGTCATGCGATCGCTGGCAGAGTTCTCCCTCCATCCACTTTTGCACCTGGCCCAACGTCCCAGCCACGCCCCAACATGCTCGCCATCTCGCTCCAAAGCGTGCTTGCTCTGATCGCTGCTGCGACCCTTGCATCAGCTTCGCCTCGCCTCGACCAGCGTTCGCAAGACGCTTCGGCCAAGTCTGGACCGTTGGGTCTCAACAATGTCAAGTGCAGCGATGTGACGCTCCGCACTTCCGTCACGACGCAAAACTTTGACTTTGTCAACGTCATCGACAATTACGATTCGTCCGACTACGTCACCTCGACGTTCTTGGCGTTCACGGGCCGCAAAGAGCAATGGGTTGCCGAGCATTTCCCCGGCACTCGTAGCCCAGTCAGCAGTACATTCACACTTCGCGGCAGCTACTGCGAGCCGATTCGTGGTGCGAAAAAGGGCTCTTCGCTGCTCTTGGCTACGCACGGAATCGGCTTCAACAGATCGTACTGGCGCTTTCCTTACAAAGGTCCCGAGTACAGCTTCGTCAACCATGCTGCGAGCTACGGCTACAGCAGCTTCATCTACGACCGCATTGGAACTGGCAAGTCCGACATTCCCGCCACCGGAGGCTTCTCTCGCATGCAGTCGCCAACAGAAGTTGGTGTTCTGACCAACATCCTCGAACAAGCGCGTAACAGCAGTGTCATTGGTGGCAAGAAGCACGCTCGCATCGTCGGCATCGGACACTCCTACGGCTCGGGTCAGACCCTGGCAGTGACGAGCGCACGGCCGGAGCTCTTGGACGGCGTGGCGCTCACTGGTCTGACCCCGGCCACCGAGTACGTTCCCGACACCATCTACTCCGGTGCATACACCCCGATGCGAGAGATTGCTGGCATCGAGAATCGCAACAGACCAAGCATTTGGATCGCGACTGGTTCGCGCACTTCGCTGGTTCAAAACTACATCGACCCTGACAATGCCGACGCAGAGGCTGTCAACATTGCCCGCCGAGGCGAAGAGGGCGTGACGCTTGGTATCTACACGACCCTCGGCAATATTGCGAGCCCTGCGCCCGCTTTCAACAAGCCCGTCCTCGTGCTCAATGGCAATCACGACTTGCCATTCTGCGGCTCCAATTGTGAGCGCACCGTGCCGCCATTGCCCGAAGGACTTCGTGCCATCTACCCGGCAGCCAGCAACTTTACCTCTGTCATCATCCCCAACACCGGCCACGGCATTGCGCTTCACCGCAGCGGTCCAGACAGCCACGAAATCTTGCTCGATTGGGTGATCAGCAATGGCCTCTGAGAGCGTCGCTGCTCGTGATAACCCTCTTGGCTGGCGCTTCTTCCGTGATCACTATTTCGACAAATCACATGATCACGCCGTTCCTAGCCTCGGTCGATGCCACTCCTTGCGCTCCGGGCCACCTGTTCCCCTTTGCCGTCCTTTCACTTCAAGACTTGATGAATGGATGTAGTGTTCGAGGTTCGGATTCGCGTGGCGTGGCATTGCCGTCAGAGTCTGAGGCGCTTGATGAATGCAAGCGTACGTACACACGCAGCAACAGAACAGAGTGATCTCCGCCGCATGCAGCGTCCGCTGCCACCTGCTGCGTGCGCTACTTGCCGACGCACCTCGCGACCGAAGACTTGCTCGCCAAACTCTGACCGTTGATGCACGATCACACGAGGAGCGTCACGCGAAACGCCTTTCGCGCACAGCGCACGCGTTGGCCCTTTTGCACAAGACCAGACGCGTCGTGTTCGCTCGGCATCCCCACAAGCGCAGTCTCGCCACGCAGGCGGATTTGTCAATCACGAATACTTCTGAAGCCGCGTTCTGAAGCAGGTCGCACGCTTGTCTCAAGTCTCGCTCGTCGCGAGAGTCACGCTCCAGCCAATCCACGCCTCTCGGTCCGGCTCGCACCGCACCACGCGCAGGACGACTGGCGGTCAAAAGGAGTGGTCTATTTAGAGAGCTACTGTACAGTGTATCCGTGGATTGAAGCTGCTCCACTGCTTAGTTGGCGCCCCATTGGCCTTGCTGGTTGTTGTTGAGGAAAGAGTCGGTGCTGGTGCGTTGAGAGCCTGCTCCGCCTGCAATGTGCTGCGTGGCTGCGCCATATGCTGGAGGGTCTCCAGCGCTCTGGTAAGAGGGGGCGTTGCTGGCGTACGAAGGAGGCCTGCTGTTGGGAATGTTGGGCAGCTCCGTTCCAGACTGTCCTCCATTGCTTCCTCCGCGTCCACCACCGCAGCACTTGGAAAAGGCTCCTCCTCTTCGAGCAAGCCTGTCGATAGAGTAGCCGCTCGCAATCTCGACCGACGCAACGTCGCGGCCATACAAAAAGTGTCCGGGCGATGCGACGGCCGAGCCGGCAGCGACGAGAACAGCAAGGACTGAAAGTGCAGTGGCAAACTTCATCTTGACGATTAGCAAGGGTACTGGGGGAGTCGACAGAAGCGTCAGTCTAAGCGCGCGGCGACGCTTCGCTTGCCCTGACTTACAAGTGAAGGGTTAGGGCTAGCGTGAGGGATTATCAAGGTCAATTGCTTTGAAGTCGGGAATCTGGCCAGCAGATGCCTGTAAAGTAAAGGTAATTGCAGTGAATGTGGGTTAGTGATCGATTGGATGGAGAAAAGGGCAAGAGGAGGTTGGAGCTGACAAAACGGCCCCCTCTTATACCCTTTCCGAGCAAGCTGACGATGCCGCTAGGCGATTCGGTTCCGAGAGGCGTCAAGACGTTGCTAGCGCCAAACGTCGAACGTCACTGGTCGACAGGCGTCATGTGCTGCTCGCCTCGTCGCGCGATACCGTGCTCATTGAATAGCTAGCGGTTCCCATTGTGCTGGACAGTCGTGCTGCTGCTCTATTCGCACTCGTCGTTGCTGTCCGCCGGGCACGCAAACTTGGTACATTATCCCGAAAGTTGGCGTCTCTCTGGCGTGCATGCAGCCGCGGAGCCGAAGAGTCAGCTTAGCATGAGAGTCGCATGTGCTCTAGCGCACCCCACAAATTGACAGTCTGATCAGTCAAATTGCAAGTGTCCGAGTCTTGTGAGCGCACGTACCCTAGGCGGACGGACGTTGGCAAGGGGACAACATCAGAGCAGCCAAGTTGCGTCGGCAGGCGACTCGTCGCGTGAGCAACCGCGGAGCGCTGCTTTCATGCGCGCGCGCCTCAAGGCGACATGGCGCCAAGCTGCATGAATGGCACGTTGGGCGTGCATGCGAGGGCCCAATGTAGGTGTTGCACTTTACCGCAACGCTTTTGCTGCAGGAACGGCGCTGCGTCTCATTATGTTGGGCGACAAATTCAAACATGGCATAGCGAGCGATCGGGACGCCACTCATGCAGCTCACAACTGCGCAACGAACACACCAAGAGTCGCCATCGCGCCTGCTCGCCCGCGCCTGCTCGCCCCTTCGAAGCGTAGTCTCGAGACTCACGACCAGAGGTGCAGAGGTACAGGCACAAAGTGGCGCATGCGTGCACACACCTAGCTTACCTTGGCATTCGAAAGCTTCTTCCGCAGCAGACTGGCCGAACTTGTCCTGAGCTGAGCAAAGCAAAGCACGCAACACCCACGGAGAAAAGTTCGGGTTGGGCGCAAGCTATCGACGCAGCTCGGCGTTCCCGTGTGCCGTTCGTGTGAGCTCACTTGCTGGAATGTTGAATGGCGCGTGCGTAGGAGGACCTTGATCGTCAAGCTGGGGAGTTGACGCTTGCTCTTCGCTCCTCGAGCGAGTTTGAGTGTTGCGGGCATCCAGCTTTTGCTCTCAGAAATTTCCTCGAGAGTCACGTGAGTACCCACCTCTGCTCAGACCATGTTCGAGTCGCACACTGGGGGGGTATTCACTGGCCCGATCTAAGCGGATGCACGTCAAAAGGCAAAAAGGTGCGGGACATCATCTTGCCAATCCACCACGCACGCACGCGCGGACGCTGCAGGGTCTGATCAGAGTCGTGCATGCATGCCATCATTCGCGATTCGAGCGCTCGGCTGTTCGTAAGCAATTGACAAACGTAGGGTCAGGCGAGCGATTGCGTCTTTCCTTTCTTGGCCTCCACGTCCATCATCACTCACACACTCAACCTATGGCCATCGCCCGCGCTCGTGCCATGCCGATGAGATCAGTCGTCCGTCTATCTTCCATTCTCTCCCATCTGTTCTCGAAGCCCAACGGCATCTTTCCATCACCCGTTCAGCAGACGCGAAGAAGCATCATGTCTTCAGAAAAGCCAAACGCTTCAGGATTAAAGGCTGAGCTGAGCCGCAGCTTGCCCACACGATCGCCTACAGAGGATGAGAAGCCGGTGCTGCAAGCCTTGCGAGATGTGGGTGCGAGTGCAGGAGTATGGGTACAGTAGAAGCCTGCTAACCCCTGCCATCCGTATCGCATCCGCCCCACTCACAGCTCTACAGTTGCGATCCGCGCAGCTCCTCGTACGCTCAGTACAGCGAGTCTGCCACATTTCACGATCCAGTCAGCATAGCGTCTGGCCTGCCCAAGATCAGAGCGCAATTCAACGCCCTCGTCGCTCTCTTTCCGCGTTCCAGCATTGACAAGTTCAACGTGCTGGACACCAGCGCAGCTAGCATCACCGTCAAGCGTGGTCTGCTCCTCGTCGATCAGGATGTGACGTATTATCGATCGAAAGAGCATGGAGCTGAGCCGTTCAAGACGATGAACAGTCTGCTGACCATTGAGCGCGATGCGCAAGGCCGCATCACGAGACACACGGAGGAGTGGAATCACAATGCGGTCACAGATTCGGACAATTCGGGCTTCGGAGGTGTGCTCAACGAGGCGAGGAAGAAGGCGTTTGCGGCCATCAGCATGCCTTTTGTCGATCAGACACCGCCGGCGGAGAGAAAATGAGGGGCGCATCCAAGCTGCTGCTCCTGCTGTTGCTAACGACCGATGCTCCAAAGTTGTCATCTATGCTGTCCAACTCGTGCTTGATCTTGGTGTGATGCTTGCGCCCGTCTGTGTGTGCGCTGTCGCTTGCGGCGCATTCGTGACACTCGCGAGTGCGATGAGCTAAGCCCGCTCGTCTGAGGTGTGTGTGTCAGCGCGGTCTACTGTAGCACACACATGTGGAGGGCGCGGAAGCAAGACGTGAAGACTGCGCACGTGACTCGGTGCAAGGAGCGCGTGCGTGCGAGCGAGCGAGATCTTCCGGATGATTAATGGTGCGCACGCGCGAGTTGCAAAAATCGAATGTTGAATCCAATCCACGATCGATGGAGAGTCACAATCACGTGAATTGAGTCGCGCAAGTCGTGAAGAGGGCAGACAGATCTCACCTTTTGCTCGCAAATGCCGCCGCCCTCATCCACGCCTGCCTGCCCCTCCTCCGCACATACAACGCACACGCACACACACACGCACACGCAGCCCACACCCCGCCACACAACTGCTCCAACAGCAAAATGTCGGGCAGCAGCAGCAATAGCGCGCTTGCAGCGCGTCAATGCGACGCAATCTACAACGCATTGGACTCTTCCAACGACCGCAAAGCGCTGACATTGGCTGACCAGCTCATCCAGCGTACCCGCTCTCCATCCTCCTCCTCCTCCTCCTCAGCAAACGACACGCGAGCGCTGGCGAGCGCGCTGAGATGCATCGCGCTGGTCAGGCTTGCGAATGAAAAGGCGGATGAAGCGTTGGATGAGATGTTGAGGCCCATTCTCCATCCCACCACCACCACCACCTCCTCCACCTCCTCCTCACCACGCGCGCACGATGGCAATGTGCTGCACGCGCTCTGCATTGCGCTCTCTGCCAGGGGCAGGCTGGCAGAAGAGGCAGAGGTGGCGTGTCTGCAAGCCGAGCAAACGCCCCGCTCGCTCGATTTGGGCAAAAAGGCAATCTTGGCGTGCGCGCGAGCTTCAGCTTGGCAAAAGATGCACTTGTTGGGCATCAGGTACTACAACAACCTCAACAAGGCAGCTGAAAAGGAGCACAAGGAAGCGGTGAGGCGCGGCATGAGGAGCGAATCGGATTGGTTCTTTTGGAGCGCAGTGACGGCGTATCTGCTGTTGGATAGGAAACCAATGCAACGCGGTGCGGCACTGGCCTTGCCGTTGGCCAATCGCATCGTCGAACAGCACCTCACCTCTTTTCCGCTGGGAAGCACATCGGAGGAAGAAGTGTGGGTGGCGGTGCAGCTCAAACACAGGCTGGCGCTTAGGGAAGGCGGCAGCAGCAGCAGCAGCAGCAGCGGGCATGGCTTGACGGCTGCTGCTCTGGGCCTCTTGACGAGCAGCACGGGCAATGTGCTGGTCAGCAAGAATTTGGGCCTGGAAGAGCTGAGAAGAGCGTTGCGTGAGCAAGTGGCGGATGAAGAAGCTTGGAGGGATGTGTGGAAGGAAGGGCGTGCCAAGTTGATGATGGCAAGCTCCTCCTCCAACTGGGCTCACGTCATGGCCGTCGTCAGAGCTGCGATGGAGCGGCCGGCAGAGCTGCTGCTCGACACGCAGCTCCTCCTTGCATCTCTCGCAGCAGCAGCAGCAAGCAACGACCGAACGTCCAGCTTGACCAGGCTGCACTTTGTCAGTGAGGCGCGCAACAAGGATCTGGCAGGCTCCCTCTTTCCCGACGCTTCACCGCAACAAGCGCAGCAGAGGTCGACGACCGAGCTACGAGCGGCTATAGAGCAGCATCTCGCACGCTTCTCCAGTCTGGCTTGCACGTATCAGGATCTGCAAGTGTACGCTGCCCACTTGCCAGCGCAGCACATCCAACAGCTAAGCGCATCATGGAAGCGCCGATTGCAGTCTTGGCCCTGCAAAGATGCTCGGCCAATCTTGAGCGACTTGAAGGAAATGTACACGCATTTGAACTTGCTCAGGTTAGCATTGCGCTTCCATACGCAAAGGGACGCGCCTGCGCCTGCGTCTGCGGAGGAGGAGGATGACCTCGAGACGCTGCTGCAGAGCTTGCGCACGTGGTGCTTGGCAGGCTACGACTCTGCTTTGCAGCTGGGCAAAGATGTGCCCACGACAGAGATGCAGCCGGCAGACGAGTACATTTACCTCTACGCTCAAGTCCTTCTCTGCGCGCCGCCCAGCGCGACAAGGGCTCCATCCGCCGCGAGCATCCTCCACCTTCTAGCCCTTCTTGCCCGCTCTCTCGAAGCGAGTCCTAAATCGTACAAGTTGCGCATCCTCTTCGTCTTGCTGCATCGACTGCTAGGAGCAGACGCGCTTGCCCAAGAGGCTGCTGATCAGATAGGCATCAAGGGTGTGCAGCTGGACACGCTCGGCTGGGTGTTTCAGAGGCGTTTGAATGTAGCGCTTGGCCGGGGCGGCAAGGAGCAGGAAAGGGTCAAGCGAAGCAAAGTCTACGCGAGGATCTCGGAGCTCTACAAAGAGAACAAGAAGGATGTGAGTGTGTAGGTGCGGCAGGGCTCGATTGGTTCACAGATGCACAGGAGCCGCTTTGCGCACACAGTTTGCTGCGGAGATTAGTCATACATATAGGGTTCTTACCTGTATTGACACCTTTCGCGCGGCGCACAGCTTCCAAAAATGATCGCCTCTACGATAGAGAATGGGACGTGGTCGAGGGTGGAAGAATTTGTGGATTTCAGCGAGCGCTTAGAGAGGTCCATCTCGCGCTGTCTATTCGAAATGGAGCGGATCCGAGCAGGTGGTCTCGACCGCGTCGAGGTGGAGAGGGTGCTCAAAGACGTGCAAGGCTGGATAGAAGGTGAGCAGCAGGAGCGCGCCCGCCGACTTCTTGAAGCTCAGCTCAGCTCAGCTCACCATGCGCCATCGCCACGCGCTCTTCAGACGGTCTTCACGACCAGAGAGACTTTGACATTTTGCCTGCGTATACCTCTGAACCGATCTGGGACACCATCTCCGCTGCCAGGACGTGCGGAGCAGCAAAGTCCAATCCAGGCGTGAGTGACGACAAAGCATGTTCGCATTTGCACGTCTTGACCCCTTTGTTCTTGGACTGTTCTATCAGGTATCCTACGTCAAAGCCTTTGCAAACTTTTGCGCGATAACAAACAGTGCGATCGATGCCAATCCAAAAGGGATAGAATGGGCGGAATTAACCTCCGCTGAGAGAGGGCTAGTCGAGTTGGTCAATGTCTCGCGGACCGGCACGGCCGGCGAGATTGGACAACAGCTGGACAGCTTCCTACGAGGTGAGGCTCTGGTGCTGGTCTCGCGCTCTCCTACCTCGCTCATGCCATCCTGGCCATCTGCAGATCGAAATGCAGAGATGCTCGCTGCTTCATTACCATGCCAATTGCTTCACAATCTGGCAATTTCACTGGAGGTGAGGTCTGCGTCCATCTTGCAATCCCTCATCGAGACGAGCGCTGACGACTTCTCGACACCGCGCTTGCCGCGCCAGGCTCTTCAAGCCCTCCACTCCATCAAGTCCTCCAATACAGATTTGGTGGCCGTCCTGCAAGGTGAGGCTCTCAAAGGCCTGCTGCGCGAACTACAAGCAAGCGCTTCAGAGACTGCCTCGCGACTTTCGAGCGAGATCCTGCGAGCCTCTGATCTCCAAGGCTCAGAGCTGCTGTCGCCTCTTGCGGCGCCACCCTTCGACAGGGTGAAAGCAAACGCGCATGTAGCCTTCGAGCAGGCCTTGGAGTACCTTGTTGAGAGTATGCAAGAGCACATCGACAGATGATCTGCGCAATGCCATCCTTTCAAGCCGCTCCTAGGTCCTATCGCTGTGC